AAAAACACCATTTCAAAGGCTACATGCATGAAAACCAGAAGTATAGTTTGGTATTCAACATGCATAACACTAATTTGATGGGTATGAAAATAATAAAAAAAAAGAATTAAGGTATCTTAGGAGCCAGTCTGGCAACCAATTGTGAAAAGTTAGTTGCCAGTGAAAAAATTCTGGTTGCATTGGTGACCCCAGCAGTCGCAACATTGCGCTCTGCCATGCAACATGTTTAGGCGCAACTTTGATAAGTTTTTATTAGCTGTATATTCTTAGCATTTTTTTTTATTAATTAATTTTTAGAACTTTTTGTGATCAGGTAATGTAAAAATTAATCAGTGTTTTGCTTTTTCTATTTTATCTTCCTCTATTTTGGCATCCTCAGAAAAGATTTTTAATTATTATTATTATTATTGTTATTGTTAGTATTATTACTATTATTATTATTATTATTATTATTATTATTAAAAATCCTTTTTTTAATATGGCAGCGACTCAACTGGGAAGCCAGTCAGAAAGCTGGAGCCCTGACAGCAGCAAGACTTCCTGAAAACAGACAACTTAATCGGTACAGAGATGTTTTGCCATGTAAGTGTCAGCTATATATGTGCATATATTTACTGTTTGCTTTCTGAATATCTTGCTTATGGTTGAACCTCCTCAGCACCCACACCTGTAAGGATATTGAAGCATAAAATAACAGCTTTGTGAAGGCTCTAATTCTGTAGTTCAGGAAAAGTGCTAAACACAACTCATTGTCTCTATCTGGCATCAGTGATGGGTAACCAGGCCACTATTTCACAATATTGTAACATCCTCCTCTTTCTTTGTAACATGGCATGTGCTCCAAGCAGCTACAAATTAAATAATGTAACAATTGAAGAGCCAAATGCATATCTGCTTTGTGTCGAATTTTAGGCCTTTTTTCTCTTCTCTGGCTCTGATTTGCCTCAGTCTTGGTAAATTAACTACAAATTATATTTTGAACACTGACCTGGACTTTTTTCACTCGTTTGCAAGTTTTTGGAAGAAAATCTGCCTGAGTCAAGATAGCTTTCTCTCAAGCAAAGATGCCAATACAATACATAAAATGTTAGATGTAGCTTCTGTTTATAGTGTTCAAAGTCAAAATCAAATCCCTCAGAATCTTAGCTGTCTTTTAGTAAGCCAAAGGAAAATAGGAAATTAAGTGGGAATCTGGGAACCAGGTTGTTTACATCGGTTATTGTGACGTGAAACAAAACACGTGAGTTGGAGCGAGCGCTAAGGGAAATACACGTACTATCAAACAGAAAAGAGATATGAAGCTCTTAAGTGCTCTTTTAAAATACCTTACATGCTGGCCTGGTGGTTGAGAGGCATCATAAAGCCTGGTAAACCCGTAAGTCATCAGCACGTTTTAAAGAACCAAAATGTGCTTTCTGATATTCAAACAAGCTGATACTTTCGGCTCAAACAGGTCTGTCTGTGATCTTTCTAACACCTGCCAGTGTTCTTGTGATGGAATAAAGATCTTTCAAATCGCCTTTCCTTACTGCTTCCTCTGCCTGTCTTGCAAGGTCATCCACAAAGTTCCTTCAGTCTTTTCTGATGCTTTGCTTAACCTCTGTGTTGGCTTTAGAGTATCAGCTTTCTTGGCTCTTGTTCTGCTATGGTTCAACACATCCTTCTCCTTCTGTCTAGCTTCTATCTTCTTCAGAGGATCTGTGCTGACATAGGCCTTAAGCTGTTTAGACTTCCTTCCCAACATTTCCTTGCACATCTCCCTCCAAGCATTTTTCATTCTCTGCGACACCTGGTTGACTACTGTATTGCTCTCCTCTTCCCTCGGATGTTGCTTGCTTTCTTGGAGACTTGCGAGTGCTTGGTACTTACATGTATTGGACAAGGTAAGCTTGAACCAGTTCTTTGTTTCTTCATCCTTCAGCATCTCAATGTTGTACTTGTGGCTTGTCTTCTGTGAGCTAGTATGATAGTTTTTCAGCTTCAGATGACAACTGCCCACAAGAAGGTGGTGATCAGAAGCCACATCTGCCCCTCTCTTTACTCAGACATCCAACAAAGACCTTCTGAACTTTGATGCTATACAGATTTATTCAATCTGGTTCTCGGTCTTGTTGTGGGTGAAAACACTACCTCCAATGACTAGCTTGTTAAAGGAACAGAAGTCAACAAACAGCTCTCCATTCTTGTTCATTTTCTCAATACCATGTTTTCCCATAACTGTCTCAAAACTTGTGTTACCACTCCCCACCTTAGCGTTAAGATCTCCTGGCAACAGTAGCAGATCTTTCTTGGCTACTCCAACTATGACACCCTGTAACCTCTCATAGAAGGCAGCTTTTGCATTGTTGCCAGCTTCATTTGTAGGTGCTTAGCACTGGAAAAAGGTGACTTTTCTGATCTTGGTGTGGAATCTGGCCGGGATGATTCTGAATGATACTGGATTCCAGCCTATGAGTGACTTGGCCGCTTGTGGGGTCAGCATAAAACCTACTCCCTCTGTGTGCAGAGCGTTGGCATGGTCATGGCCTGAGTAAAGGACAGTCTGTCCAGTTGACCGCCTTACGCACCCAGACTCGATCTATCTGGTATCACAGATGCCTAGGATTGAAAGCTTGTATGTGGTCATCTCGAGAGCGATCTGTGCGGCCTTTCCTGCCTTGTACATGGTTCTAACGTTCCATGTACCAAACAAAGTTGTTGTCTTAGGGGTAAGGAGTGGAGTCGTCCTCTTCCTTTCGGCTTTTACCATGGTGCATCATACGAGTCTCTGAGGAGACGTCCTCTTGGCCCAAGACTGATGTGATTTTGTGCCTGATTGCTATGGTTCCTGTGATGTCGTCTATCCACCTGGTGGGTGATTGGCCCTCCAAGCTTTTGGAGCATTCCTGACATTTTTGAGCTTGCTTTAGGTAGATTTCCCAAATCAAAAGGACTCATCTTTTGAAAAATTGTCTTGAAGCAGTTTACCTCGCTCTCCCTGGCTTTCTCTTTCACACTCGCAATGTGGTGTCGGAAGTTATTGAAGCTACCTAACTCATCCCGAAAAGAAATTCTTGAGCAAAATTATTCGAGAACTTTGCAGAAGTTCGGTAAAAGGTAATTACAGCACTAATGACTGCCATGTTTGCAAAGAGGCGAAAGACAATCACACAATTGAATAGTCTTTCATTCAATCATTCAAGTGAAGAGAATAACCTAGGCATGGTAACTAAAACTGCAGGCACAGCAGAGGCTCAGAGCATGTCATGAAATACCCTTTGGCTTCAGAAGCTGATTATCTTTTATAGGTTAGTCAGTTCACATTTTGTTGTTTATATGGTTATGATAGCAAAAAAACATGATTATAGGCTAAACTGCTAAATAAATTCCACTGACACCCTCATATATGTGTTTGAAAGTTTTATGTAATCAACACTGTACATTTTCATTTTCAGATGACCACAGTCGCATCATTTTAAACGAAGGATCCCCAGACTATATAAATGCCAATCTTGTTGAGGTATGCCTGGCCATCATCTGAGGTTTTAAGATTTTTTTTGTAGTCCATACTGTATGTCATGGTGTAATCTCATTCATTAAAATCTGATTGGGTAACATTACAATAGTGGAAACAGATCTGGCTTGTGATATAATTTGGGTCTAGCAGACTAATTGCATTATGGATTGCAGTATTGAAAGTAAGGGACCAAATGAATAGTGTTTCTATAATTAATTTGAACTTTTTCAGTTCCTTCAAAACACATGAAATTCTGTAAGGAGTGGACTGGGCTCATAAAAGAAGTATTATCTCTACATTCTTTCTTATCTGTTTATGTTAGCACATGTCATTGTTGAGTGCTGGACAGAGGTGAACCTTTAACTTTTATTAAATGGTAGACTAAATTTTAGTCTATTTTAAACACTGTTACCAAGGTCTCCTTCAAAGGGTGTAAAATAAGTTCATTTATGATCAAAAGCAGTTGAGACACTCCCCCAGAAAAGGAAGAAAACTGAGGAGATATATTGATATATTAGGGGAGCAGGGTTGGCGCAGTGGTGAGAGTGCTTGCCTCCCACCAAAGTGTCCTGGGTTTGATTTCCAGACCTGGCATTGTATGTGGGTTGAGTTTGTTGTTGGTTCTGTTCTCTGCTCTGAGAGGTTTCTTTGCGGGTACTCTGGTTTTCCCCTCTCCTCAAAAACCAACATTTCCAAATTCCAATTCGATCTGGATTATTGTCAGACACTTTATCATGAGCCTCTGGCTTGGGTGATCATGTAAGCCCCCCCATGAGCTGAATGAATTTTTGAATTCTGATTCAAGCTGTGATAAAAGTTTTGGATGATCAATAGACAAGAGAATTGAGAATTCGAATGTCACGTTTCTCTATTATTTATACAGTATTGCAAAATAAATACTTGAAAGATGAATACGGACATGGCGAAATGATTTGAACAAAATAGTTGATAAAACGAAAAAAGAGACATTACACAAGACAGGGAGTTCAGCAGTCACTAATATCACCTTGGAAAGGGAAGAAAAAAAATAAGAGAGAAGAAAAAAAAGAAGTTATTACAACACGGGGTATTTGTATTTGGTAACCCATCTACGTAGGAACCCCTCCGAACAGGGCTTAACTTTGTTGAGCAGACAAGACACGATCCTGTCCTTGTGGTATTATTACTATGCTTTGGATAATTTTTTTATTATTTCTAAGATCTCTCAAAAAGTAACAAAGAAAGGAAAAAAATCATTGATATCGCCTGGGAAAATAAAGAACGAAAAAGATAGGAATGAAAATGAGACTACGATTATACTTGCTTTGCTGATTGGACATGAAGCAGTACTTTCTTTATAATTGTCTTGGACGAGGGTCACCAATAACTTCACGAATGTTTTCAACTGTGTTAAATCTCCTCATGTATCCTCTTACCGTTGGATTTTGCCAGTGGGCTTTAACTTTAACTTAACCTACAGATTAAAACCTTAAGTCAGTGGCATTAGAATTGTCACTGTTTACAGATGATCCATTTTCCAAGTAGAGTGGCTCATAACCACTTTGATTTGGTCTCTCTTTACTAATTGGTGGAACTCCAAAAAAGGAGATATGATCACTCTCGATAAAAATAGGTTCGCATTGTGTACTTGTGTGCTTATGCTTAGTTTCATTCCATTTGATTGGAGTTTGTTTTTAAAAGTCAGTATCTGGGAGTTGAATTGCTATGAAAGAGAAGGCAATCACTGGAAAGGTAAAAGGTGTAACTTTGAAACATTAGACATTGTACTCATGGTAGATGAGAATTCTCCCAGAAACTTGTGGCCCCTTGGTCACATCCTGGAAGTAAAACCAAAGAAGAGAGATGGGCTCATGAAGAGAGTCACGCTGAAAACAAAGTCTGCTGTCCTGGAATGTCCCATCAACACTTGGTCGTTCTTCTAGAGGGTCCTAGACTCTACAAAAGCAGCTTTATTGTTGTTCTTGATGTCCTCATCCGAGAAGTTTGCTTGTAACGTCAGAGAACAGTTGTTTCTTTTTTTGACTTGATGGTGAGGAACCATTTTGAATGGATTTAGTGACAATACCATTAACTCAAGTTTTTCCGTTTGAATCACTCAACTAAGTTTAAATGCTTTCAGTTCGCATTTAAGGGCTGGTATATAAGATTCAAACATACATGACATTTCCCCTACGTGCATTACACTTGATTTAAAATTCAACTCGTCGATCATCAAGTGATTCATTGTGTAAGATTTCTCAGTTCTTGTTTTGTTCAGTACGTATTATATCAGCAATCGAGTCAATTGCATCAAGTTTCAGTTTAGTTCATCAGTTATTTCAATCTAACAGTTCACATCAATAGGAGGAAATATCTGTAAGTTGTTTGTCTTTATCTTTTTGGTTCTGTTTGTCACCATTTCTAAGAAGTTTTGCAACCTGTTGCTTTTTAATGTGAAAAGTAAACTGATCAACATGACATGAGTTCCAAACAGGAATTGAACTGGTGGGTGCTCTATACACTGAGCTATGAGAACTCATGGAGAACAAGGTCATTTAACTGAGTTTATATGTCACAGGCGTCCTGCATACTGCTAGGATCAGCATCTTTGTTCACTTGTCACACTCATGGTGATTTCAACAGTGCTGATCCTGGACCAATGCATTGATGAACACAAGTACTCAGCTATTAGAAAATACTTGCTTGACGCCCACAATTAGAAGAAGAAAGATCTTAATGAGCAATTTACTATCCTGAAGAAATGTCGCGGGAAATTTGAATGCTTAATCTACAAAATGCTCTTCATCCAAGAAAAGAAACCTAAACTGAACACTCAATCTGACTCAATTTGACCACAGTGAATAAAGAAAGAACTGCCATGACAGCTGTTGCAATACAATCAAAAGAACATTTTGGAAAACCCGGAGGCAAAAGTGTTGCAGAAGTGCCATTCTTTGGATATTCAATCTCTTCAGTCACCCAGGAACAGTCACATGCCATAAATGAATAATTCTTTGACAAGCAAGTATTACAAAGAACAATAAACTTTTTATTTCTGGCTGCATGCTGACAGTTAATGAGTTTCAAAACAACCGCATAGTGTTTTCAATGGAAAATGATCTGCCAACATAGTCGCCGATTTGCAGGGATTGTAATTCTGTTTATGTGAAGTTCTCACTTCTAGTTTCAATTTCTATTATAGAACCCCGGATAAAGAAGCCTGTTGTAGACTAAATTATTTATATGCTTGCCACTTCTCAGTAAAATATACCCTATTCTAGACCAAATCTGTCTGATTTCTATAACTTATCCCAGACTAAACTGCCGGAAAACCATACCCTTCACAGCAGCACATACCCATATAACCCATGTTTGAGAGTTACCCCNCCCCCCCTCCCCCAGAAGCAGGCTCAAGTAAGTTCCGAATCAAAGTCAATATAGCCATGATTAATATTTTAAGACAAGAAATGAACAGGAGAATTGAAGAGAGACTGAGCTATACGTTTCGCTTATAATTTTCAGTACTGTAACTGTAAATAAATTTGGAGATGGCAAGATGATATGAACAAATTGGTTGATGAAAAGAAGTAAGAGATGATACACAGGGATATACATACAGTTCAACCCCTATTAAACAGCCACCCTTGGGGAAATGGATAGTGGCTGCTTAAAAGGGGTTGGCCGCTTAATAGAGGTAAAAATGATAGAAAAACCCTCAGCTGGACTTTGATTACTGGTCGCCTAATGGGAGTGGCTATTTAATAGGTGGCCACTTAATAGGGGTTGGACTGTATATCGATAGAATGGTCAAACTTTACCATGCAAGGAAGTGGACGGCTACGCCAAAGATGAAGAAGCCGTCAGAAAGTAAATGTAGGGGGAGGAAATCACTTACATTGTGTATGTTGGCAGGTGAAATGAAGAACAAAATAAATAAATAAATAACAATAGGAAAGAAAATGAGAACCCGAAATACAGGGATTTTATTACTTGGTCCTGCATTTAGTATAAGCAGTAGCTCTGGTGATCAGCAAAGAAATGGTACTTTCCTTGTGGTAAAAAGGATTTGCGGTGTCACATACCTTCTGTATTGTCTTACAGTTGTGTTTTGCACTATTTCTTAACATTGCCAGTAGGCTGTGACTTCATTTTTTGTCTCTCTAGCTCGATATATCTGCCCTATGTGCCACATGGCATGTAGGGAACAGGTAGTTTAAGCGTGACAGGGATCCATATTCACAGTTGTCCGGTCATCTGTGACAACTACAAAAAGTAGGGATGACGAAAACAACACGTCCACTGGATGAGTTTAGTTTTACTCTATCAGAAAAAAAAAGTTCCTAAATTTTCGTATGTGTTCCCTGCATTCTGACCACTTGTCATCCATTTGGAACTTTAAGAAAAGAGATAAAGATTTGCAGCTTTCTTTCACGAAAAGTCATCATTTTGGTCTGCCATCTTGGATGATGTGGTATTCTTCATGAATTCATGGTTTGATAAGTTGAATTCAGTTATTTGGTTTAAATGAGTTTGTGCCTGATATGGAGGTTTTCTGAAAAGCAATAAAATTGTATGTCATAGTTTAAAGGGGATTTTCAAAATTTCAAATTGTGTACTCAAAGGTACATATTTGAAGAAAAAATTTTATTGAAGGACAACAAACTGATCAAGGTTTGCCAATTCATAAAATTACACATTTACGGATGACAAGGTCAGCTATGCTTTACTTATTAATTATTCCTTAAAAGTCGTAAGATTTTCTTGTTGTAATGGCACCCTACAGGGACCAAAATCTCCTAAAACAGGTCTAAGTATGTGGATGGTTTGGTCATGACTGATAAATAATTTGACTCTGTGTTTATTTTTACAGATTACAAGGCTGAACAAAAAGTATATTCTTACTCAGGTTTGTTACACTTATCTGTACTCCAGCAATAAGACAAGTTTAAGATCTACATGTAAATGGTGTGCTCACATCATCAAAATTGTTAACTTGCATTGGGTTATACCAGAAGAAATCCACTCCACCCACCCAACCAACAGTATGTTAGAAATTCTTGTCCGGGGGGGGGGGGGGTGTGCAAGGATCCTGGTAATCCAGACAGAAGGGGAACGTGGGCAAACAAAATTTTGAATGAGGTGTAATTTTCAAACCAAATAGTCTCCAGGATTTTTTTCACATGATCCTGCAAATTGCACACATGATTTCTTATAATTATTTGGGAGCAAATAAACTAAAATTGGCAATTTTAACTTCTTTGTTGTTAATTATAATAATTATAACTGCTACTATTTTTTTCTTACATAGCTAGTCTATGCTTTCAGTATTTGGAAGAGCCAGTTTTCCCAGAACTGTCTTCTTTGCAATGTTTGCTCCTTGGCAGAATGCATGGCTAATTTGCAATATAACATGGAAACAATTGTGTGGCTATTATGAATATGATCTTAGACTGTTCTTAGAACTGCTCCTGGTGACAGATGTCTGGTATCTCAGCGGATGGTGGCTTTGAATTTAGTTGAAGCCTTAACTTTTTGGGCTTTCTCACTACTTGTTAAGTTGCTTAATGACCGCAACAGTTAATAGTTTGTAATTGACTTAATGTTTTCCATATTTATGCTTTAAGGGACCCTTACCTCATACTGCTAAGCACTTTTGGCAGATGATATGGGAGCAAAAGACTGAAGCAGTTGTAATGTTAAACAGAGTTGTTGAGAAAAATCAGGTTAGTTTCATGCACAAGTGATTATCAGAGATGTCACTCAATTTAATGATTGAGGAGAGGGCAGGTTTACATCACTTATTCAGTGCAATGACCAGCCTTGAGTTATGTTAAACTCACACTGATTTATAATTCATGATTGAAGAGCAGAATACAAGTCATGTGATGTCACACAATGCCACAATTTTAAATCCCAACATTCTTCACCTCTGGAATCACAAACTATTGTTCTCAAGTTTGTAATGATACTGGAACAACAAACAACAAAAACTGCTTGTCCATTCATTCAATAACGGTCTCTCAAAAAACTATTTGTTCTCCTATTCTCTATTTTCCAATTGCCCATAATTCACTCTGTTTGCCCCCCAAATTTTGCATAAACTATTG